CCACTCAACAACTGGATGTTGCTGAAAACAACAAATCCTACACACTGTACCTTTAAAGCAGAAGTTAAAGATTTGACTGAATGTCTTCAGTAGGTTTAACCCATACCACTCACTCCGCATTGTTATAAGTAAACAGAAAGATGAATCAAGTTTCTTATCTGAGATTTCAGAATAAATTAAATTTACCAACATGTTTAACAGTCGATTTTAAATAGTGTGTACAGCAGTGTTAACACTTTGACTGAACCCAGAGGCTGGTGTTTGACAGTCAAGGGAATGATTCAGTTTCATTCATTTCCATGTTTGTCTCCATTACACCTGAGTTACCTGAGCTGACCTCACCTTAATACTGGAAAGGTCAAAAGCACAAATACAACTTGTCRTTTCAGCCTATCGGCCTCAGCAGTTAGATTAAATCTACTCTCATCWTCGCAAACAGACAGTCCAGATCATCTGAAATGGAAAGTTTACAAATAGTTAATACCCTACCTGTTTTCAATAGCTCTTTAAACATCCTCAGTTTGAAAAAAAAAGTTTATTTATGTCTGGATTGATGGAATAATGGCTTGTTTACCCTGCTCAAGGTGGAAGAGCTGAACTACCCCTTTAAAAATCAAAAATACATACAGTACAATAGACTTTAAAATGTGTTGTTTGATATATGAATATGTTATCTTCCACCAYCACAGAGGAATGAGCTGATGACGCATCAGACACCAGATCAGATTTATGATTCGGCAGATAGTTATTGTTAAGGAGCACACAGGTTGTCCTCATAATTCTTATCTGCAGGTTCACGAGCTGCTGAATTTTGAAACCACATTCCTAATGAGCTCCCATGGAACACTTAAATCTACATTTAATTCAATTACCTCTTTAAGTTAKCCATCATGTTTTTGTTGGCACTAATAGGGCACATCATAAAGCTCAGTAAATTATTTATTTTCCCTGCAGTCCCATCTGAATGTGCACAGGCGACCCTATTTGAGCGTACTGTAGCGCAGAGTGTGACTGTGCTCTGTACTTCTGTACACGTGTGGGCAGTGTACATATGAGTGTCACCATGTGTGGGAGGAATGGTGTGATAAAGAGCGAGCATGGTAATAATGTCTGCCACTTTGAAAGTCTGAAGGTTTTGTTCCTGTTGAGACAAGGCAGCTGTAACTCAGAGCATCATTTGTA